GAGACGGACATCATGCTTGGTAAAGTAGAGAGCTAGCAAAAAAGAGGAAGACCCTCAACAAGATGGATTGATACAGTGGCTGCAGCAATAGGCTCAAGCATAACAACCATTGTGAAGATGGCACAGGACCGGGTAGCATTTCATCCTGTTGTACATAGGGTCGCTATGAGTCGGAACCGACTTGACAGCACCTAACAACAACAACAACGACAATCTTTATAGAAGCAGACTGCCACATCTTTCTCTCGTGGAGCGGCTGATGGGTTTGAACCACTGAACTTTTGGTTATCAGCTGAGCGCTTAACCACTGTACCACCAGGGCTCCTGATAAACTCATAATTGCTCGAAAAACCTTTACTGAATTCATAAAGAGAAGATGTGTGGATAGAAGAAAAACGAACATGGGAAAATTCAGAGTCAGTGTAATGATTAAGAGTTTGGGTTCTAGAGTCAGATAGAATTTTGGTTCAAATCCTGGCTCCTCCATTTAAAAGCTAGGTGACTTAGTTCAAGCTATTCTTTTTTTAAGGCATAAATTATCCATTTGTCAAATGGCATGACTACAAAAATGGCTACAATTATCTTCTTCCCTTGGTAATGTAACTTCTTAGCTACTCCAGTCAAGAGGTACAGTCCTCATCCTTTGAATCTGGGCCAGCATATGACTTGCATTATCCCATAGAATGAGGTGAAAGTGATGGTGTGCCAGTTCCATGCTAGGCCTGAGAAGAGGTCTTCTATACTTCTGCTTGGTCTTTTGGGACCCTTGCCTTGTGAACAAGCCTGGGATAGCTTGCTGAAGGATGAGAGATCACATAAAGCAGACAGGAAGCAGCTCAGCAGAGGCCTTCCTTGACTAGCCAGCTGCCACCCCTCCCCTCTATCCACCACGTACCCAACTGGCAGCTGACAGCAGACATGTGAGTGGACTCAGCTGAGATTAGAAGAATCATCCAGCTGAACCTACCCAAACTGCTGCCCCACAAAATTATGAGCTAAATAAAGATTGTTATTTTAAGTCACTAGGTTTTGGGTGGCTTGTTACCCAGCAAAAGTTAATGGATACAAATGAATATAATTATAAACCAAAAAACCAAAGTCACTGCTGTCGAGTTGATTTGACTCACAGCGACCCTACAGGACAGAGTAGAACTGCCACATAGGATTTACAAAGGAGTGGCTGGTGGATTCGAACTGCTGACCTTTTGGTTAGCAGTCTAATGCTTAACCACTGTAATACTGCTTTATATAATTATTACAAGAGCACCTAAGAATACGTGCTTCAGCAAACTTCAATATGCATTAGCTTATATTATTATTTTAAAAGTGTCAACAGAGAGAAAAATTAGTGTTAGGATAAATGAGGTCAAATGGAGATCAGGCTCTAAGTGTGCCTGATGGTAATAGACTCACCACCTCCTTTCACCTCTTCCACCAGTTTTCCTTTTTTCAGCTTCAAGATAAGCATGTTAGCAAAGCACTCTTAAGTCTATATTAGGCAAGTAAATACATGTATATATATTCTTCATCTTAGAAGTTGATTCAAATAAGATGAATGGCAAGTATTAGGGAACTATTACAGAGTTCCTGGGTGGGGCAAATAGTTAAGCACTGGACTACTAACTGAAACACTGGTGTTTCAAATCCACCCGGAGGTGCCTAGAAAGTAAGGCCTGGCAAATTGCTTATGAAAGGTCACAGCCTTGAAAACCCAATAGAATGTAGTTCTACTCCGCACCCATGGGGTTGCCATGAGTCAGAACTGACTCAACAGAAACAAACAACAATAACAACACAGACAAGAAGGCCTAATTTTTTGAAAATAATTATTTGCAAATCCCTATACAGTTAAAATAGATGAAAAGCACTTTAAAAAAAAAGTCAATAATGTGGCAAGTAGTAAAGGATACGGGTGTTAGGGTAGGCAGATGGGGCTTGTATCCTGGCCCATCGGCATTGATTGCTTCTATTAGTTTGGGCAAGGGACTCAACTCTCAGAATTTCATTTTATTCACCTCTAAAATGTGGATAGTATTTATTTAGCTTTTAGGAACATTGTGAGGATTTGAGAATGTATATAAAATGCACGACACAAAAGAGCTTCTGAATAAATTTAGCCTTATTGGTAGTAGTTTCATACAAAGAGACCCTAGAACTCAGAGTTCGTAAATTACACTGCCAAAGCAGGTTGAATAAAAATGTGGATCCCATATGTATGTAATGGGGGAGAAGGAATTAATTCATAAGCTTATCATCACAAACCTGTGACCTGAGCTTCTGAAGTGTATGAGGATATGAAAAATGAGCAGTGAAATGCATTGCCCTCCTCAGAAACGCCTCTGAAAAGCATTCTGAAAAACAATAGGTAAGTATGGCACACTTGATTGTGGCAATTTAGCTTGGTTACTTGACCTAAGGAATTTTGAAGGCTAACACTTACTCCAAAAAACTCACACTAAAGCTGCTATAAAAGTCTACACGAATTCAGATGGTAAGATTTAGGGAGCTTTAAAATCTCCTTTTAAATTTTGGTTCTATTACAATATGAGATTCCAAAAGCTTAAGGTTGTTTTCTGCAAATGAGGGCAACTCGGATTCTTTCAGCCACGTGGGACTTAGAGATTGTTGAATACCATGAATACTTTCCTTGCCAACAAGAGAGAAGACAATGGAAGGAGTGAAGGGAAGTGAAATCCTGAGGTGGAGGGGAAGATCTACTAAAACCATCTCTAAACTATCTCACCAGTCCCTGGGTGTCACTAATGGTTAAGGGCTTAGCTGCTAACCCAAAGGTTGGAGTTCCGAGTCTACCCAGACATGCCTCGAAAGAAAGACCTGGCAATCTACTTCTGAAAAATCAGTCATCGAAACCTTATGGAGCATAGTTCTACTCTGACACACATGGGGTTGCCACAAGTCAGAATCCACTCCATGGCAACTGGTTTGGTTCTCGGTTTTTTGAAATTATCTCACAGAAAAATAATTTCCCATCTTTGCCACTTTTTTTTCTGATGAAGCAGATAGGGCTGTTAACTGACCTGAATGTCAAAGCTTTAGACAAAAGAATCAACAGACAACTCTGCTCAGTATTACGTAGATTGAGTCCTAACAAGATGACCACTCTTGCTTAGTAACTCTTCAGGTAACCAGTATATTTAACACTGTCCAAATTAGATGGAGGTTTTCTTAACGTCCCATGTGCTGTCACATGGGAGGCAATGACGGGACCTTGTTCACTTGGTGAAGCAGCCAATCACTCACATGGAGTAAGGTGGTAAGAGCATGGGTTCTGGAATCAGATGACATGGGATCAAGTACCAGCTCCGCTGCTCCCTAACTGGGACATTAGTCAAATTGATTAATCTCATGAATCCTTAACTTCCTCATTTGCAAAATGGGGATTTAAATAGTACTTACCTCACTGGGCAGGGAGGATTAATGAGATAATACATGTAGGAAAACATCTAGAAAATAACGAGCATGCAAAAATTCTAGCTGCTATTATTATTGTTATTATTATTATCAGTCACAGTATATTTCTTGGTCATGTCTCAAGCAAATATTAGATGAGGATGAGGCAAGCAGCGTAAGTTTCCAACTAGCCCAAAGGCCATTGAGATGCCTGCCTCAGTGACAGAAACTCAATTTAAATGGTAGGAAAATTTGTTGGAAAACAGCTTGGCATATAGGCACCAACTCCATTCCTAATAATTGAACAGTTATTTAAGTTGCAGTCTCTCTTATTTCCTTTTCTCTCTTTGTCCTGCTGCCTTTCTGTATTCCAGTTTGTTGCCAATAACCAACAAAAATGAAATCACTACTTCAAATAGCTCTGTCTCAAATAGCTCACACTTATAAAAATTTGTGACAAGTTTCCCCTGTGAGCAGTGAAAGGAATTCCACTGGATGGAATTATTCATGAAACTGGGGAACAAATACTCTTTGAAGTGACCTCTATATCAGCAAATCTATTGAGCCATCAGTTCAATAATACAGCAAACATTACTAGGTCAAGACGAGGCTGAATTTCTCTAAGAAGTACAAACTGTTATAGAAATGACAGGGTTTCCGGGCCATTCTCTTTGCATCTTAATATCTGCAGTTATTCCAAAGTATGCCACTATAACTCCAGTGCGGCAAGACATGCCTTGGTGTGAGGCTTGGGTCAAGGATAACAAAGTGGGAATGTAAAATTAGTTTAAAAGAACTAAGAGGTCCCTTCAAGCCAAGAAATTAAGTTTCTCTTCCTCTCTTAATGGATGAGGACACATATTATCTTGAGCGGTAGCACTATTGTTGTTGTTACACATCTTTAGGGAAGAAAGAGGTACTACATTTTTCTTCTTTCCTCCAAATGGACAGTATCTCTAAGAGGGGACTGGAAAGCAAGTTCCTGACCTCCTGCTGGTCTCTTAAATTTGCAACTAGCTCTTAAAATTTCTCACAATCCCTATCAAAGGACCTCTTCTTACAGGTGAAAAAGAAAAATAAACATATTTCAGAAGTGGGTTTACACAATGGGGGTTTACTTGTCTAGGTGCCAGTGAGTGGGATGTGCAAACCTTCTAGCATCACCCTCCACGCACTGCTTGGCAACCTACTTGACAGCGACCAATGGAATTTAGAACTTAGAGGCTAAAATTTGTGAGCTGGTCTTTAATAGTCAGGCTACGGCCCAATATAAAGACATATTATTAGTTAAACAATTTAAAAATGGATGAAGCTTTGTTATCCTTTTGAAACAACTGTTAGAAATGAAGATTAAAAATCAATGACAACCACTCCATTCTATTTTTTAATTGCATTGCTAACCAGTTAAAGGGAAGGTACTTCTGTCTAGCTGGCTGGTGTCAGCTTCTAGGTAGTGTGTTTGGCTGTGAATGGTTCATCAGTCTATAACACAAAATAGTGGCTTCAGGTTTCCACCAGAGCTGAAAGTAAAAACAAACAAGCAAATAAAACTAGACAACATACACCCACACCTACACAAAACACTCTACCTTTGCATGTTTCTTCTTCAAAGAGTTTAGCTCCTTCTGCTGTTTCTTTAAATGCTTCAGGTAAGCCTGTGGAAAAATAAAGATGACCAAAAATAATTTTTTTTATAGTCATAATACAAGAGTGCTTGCAAAACAGCCAAGCAATTTTACCTTCATCTGCTTTAAATCTTCTATCCTCACTTGAGGGATAAGTTCAATACCTATAAAAAAGAAAAAGTTGAGTCACTGTGTATACCAAAAATTAGAGAGAATACTTGCTAATGTGAAAATCATAGTTCTGAAGCCTCATCTAAAGACTGTGAAGTAGCTTTATATGTCATGTTAGGGATATAAACATCTTAATTTCCTATTGTGGAGCCCTGATGGCGTAGTGGTTAAGAGCTCGGCTGCTAACCAAAAGGTCGGTAGTTCAAATCCACCAGCCACTCCTTGGAAACCTTATGGGGCAGTTTTCTGTCCTACAGAGTTGCTATGAGTTGGAACGGACTCATCGGCACCTAAGAACAACAGTAACAGTTTCCTATTACAGAGCAATGAACTAGACAACTGAAATGCTTATTGTCTTAGGTATCGTTCCCTAGAGGAGAGCCTGAGGCAGGGATTTGGGTACGGGTGATTTATTGAGGTAGGGCTCTCAGGAGAACCTGTGAAAAAGTGAGACAAAGCATGACAGGGTAGAGGAAGAAGGGAGGGTGTACTTCCAGCTGAAATCCAGCCTCTGCCTGATCCCACAGGGAGCTCTTAACAGCACTCCAGGGTTGCTCTACCTTGAGGTAAGGAGCTGGACTTTTGTAACCTTGTATCAGCTAGTTGATGGTTGAGTAGGTGTTACAAAACCTTCCAGGCATTTCCAGGCAAGGCTGAGGGCAAGTCTGAGGCATCTCTCTGGAGGAGGGTGCAGCTGTGATTTGCGATTCACCAATTCTCACAGCAGTCAGGGGATGGGACGCTGACTTGTAAAGGGAATTTGACCGGGCACAACAGCCTCTTTGACATTTGTTTTATCTTTGTATTTCAAGGTACATCATACCAGTCAACTAACTCCCAACTCTTATTCTCACGTCTAATTCTCATCAGAGAAAAGCAAAACATTTTCTGCTATCAAATTTAATTTTTGCATTTAAGCAACATGCTATTGCGCACAGCGGTGCCTTTAACATACAGGAAACAGTAAAATCAAACCACTGTATAACACGATGCTGCAATGAGGACCTAGAGGACTAAGAGAAATAATGAAGTCATCCTGTTATCTGAGTGATGCTAGGCCAGGTGTTGTCATGGCAACCTCAGTTGTAGAATTCTGAAACATGTTCTGTTGGACTGCAGATTTTCATTTTAGGCAAACAGAATGAATGTGCACTCCGTACAATAATTGATTTCCATTAGAATCCCAAAGGCTAACTGTGATATTCAAGAAACAGAAGAATCAAGTCCCAGGCTCCTGTTTTTTGGTTTTATTCATTCTAAGAAGATTTGCACACTCAGGGTGAGGGTGTTTCGGCTGGAAAAGAAGAGTCTTGGCTTAGAGAAATCAGTATTTTAATCTATAACATGTTATGATAGGCTTTATGGTAGGCAATGGGAGCCCATGTAGGACAGTGGAGTGGATTCTGGCATGGGTCTGAGCTGTTTCTCTTAAGTCTTTGCTCCCTTGTCTGTAAAATGAACATACAGGAGTTGGTGGCATGTGAGGTCCTCCAGAAATACAGCAAATACTAAGAGTTTGACCCGATCTGATGAGACTTCTTTTTTTGGTCTTGGTTCAACAAAACCTTGACTAATAGGAAAACACAAAGATAGAAACCTCACCTAGATTTGCATACCCTTCATTGCTTTGAGAAGACACAAATAACTTTTTAAATTTTTGTTTATATAAGTGATATAGTTTTTAAAAGATACTTTACAGAGCAGAAATTGGTGCCTGCTCAGTTCATCTACATGTCTAGAGCACTGTGTCCACAGAACTATCTGTGATGAAAGAAGTATTCTGGAAATCAAACAGCCACTAGCTACATGTGACTACTGAGCACCCAGATATGGCTAGTGTGACTGAAGAACTCAAGTTTCAATTAAAAAAAAAAAATCGGATTACTTTACATTTAAATTGCCACATGTGGCTCCCGTTAAACCCCGTTGCTGTGGAGTCGATTCCAACTCATAGCGACCTCATAGGACAGAGAAGAACTGCCCCATAGGGTTTCCAAGGAGCAGCTGGTGGATTTGAACTGCCGACCTTTTGGTTAGCAGCTGAGCTCTAACCGCCATGCCACATGTGGTTAGTGTACTGGACAACTCAGGTCTACAGCTTCCCTGGTGTGAAAGTAGGGTTTGGCAGCACATTTTGGACTCCAAAGTTCTAGATAATTGCAGTTTCACTACATAAAGTTTTTTTTTTTCTTTTCCGTTATCAATATAAACCAACCAAACTCACTGCTGCTGGACGAGTAGATTCTGACCCATAGCGACTCTACAGGACAGAGTAGAACTGCCCCATAGAATTTCCAAGGCTGTAAATCTTTACACAAGCAGACTGCCAATTGACCTAGATGTCCCCTGAAGGCATGGTCCCCAGACCCCTACCCTTGCCACTCCGTCCCTCAAAGTGTATGTGAATACAATAATTCTTAACTGGCCCTTAGTATTTCCCCCTTTCAATGAATTCTTCTGACAAGATCATATTAATATTCTTGAAATACTCCTGTAATTGTCACTCCTCATTGCCTTCACAGGGTGGCCCTAGAACCATCTCCAGCCCAGGAAAAATGAACCAGTTGCCACTATCTGCATTCCTTTTCTCTTATCTAGGCTGTTTCCAAGGTTGCTTCCTCCCAGGTTGCCTTCTCTCGGCTCCTCCACCTTCTCTTCCTGTTCAAGTTAGACTTATGTTTCAAGGCCCAGGTCAACAGAGGTCTCATTCATGAGTCTTCTCTGGGACTCTTGCTCAAATGACCCCTCTCCCCACCCATTTCTGAGTAGTCACCCCTTGTTATACACTTCCTGGTACAGCCATTGCATGGCAGCCTGTCTTGTCTTATCCCCCTGTCCATGTAAAGTCCTTGACAGTATGTAGGCGTTTCTCATAGAACTTAGCCATGATTTAGAGTAGGCTCCCAAGTCTTCAGAACAAAAGGTGAAAATGAAACAGCGTGCAGATCTTCTTTCTCAGGGTGCCTTTTAGAGATTAAAATAGAAGTGATAGCTGCTTGGATCCTTCAAATGCAGCTCTGTTTGGAAGCAGTGGTAAGGCAGCTCTAAACACAAGCACATTCTCTTCTAGAACTACGATTATTTTTGTACTCTGTAAGCTGGTCACACTGCATTGCTTTTTAGGCCACTTAACTCACTACAATTACTGATGTCTCCATGCACTCCTGAGTGGTACAAGAACTTTAATCAAACAAAAACCTCTCTCATTTTCCATTCCCTGTCTCTAAGAGTGGCTAACGTAACGACCAGTGCTGGTACAGAACGCCAAAGTCTGTATCGTTACCTTCCTCCATTTCTTTCTCAGGGAAGAACAGAAAAACAGCTGCTAGCAAAGTACAAACTGGACTACTGTTGTGGAGTCTCATTTTCTAATTTGTTTCACAAGGCTCAATGCACATGTAGTTTCCTACTAAATTACTATGTTGCTTTGGTTTGGGAAAGTCTTTGGTTTGTGTGTATTAAGTATACGAACAACTTGATTTCCTTACACCAAGGATGCCTAATCCACAAATAAATGGGAAATATACATACTGAGTAAAAAACCATTAGGAAACATTGAAAGTCTTATTAAAGTAAGACGAGTGAGTTTTATAAATGATTCATGGTCAAGGAGAATGTTTAATTACCAGTGTGGCATGGGCACTATCCAATCAGAACAATTCCTGGCCAATTAGAATGGAAGCCAACTTTAAATAACACTTCAGCTGATCACCTACATACTGGCTGAATATTAGCACCTGGGACACATAAGTTTTTGCGGGATGCGTCTTATAATCTTTTGTTTCATTCACAGAAAGTTGCATGCCCATCTGACACTTTTACAGAGAAATAATGATATGGAGCTAAATATTTGCCTATGGGGATAAATTATTTAAAAGGAAATCTAGAACTGTCCCATCAATGGTGACCCTTGGTTCATGAACCCATTGCCTGTCCAGATAAGCGTCTATGATGGTATCCAGCAGAGAGTGGAGGTGAGCGAGCAAACATCAATGTGTGAAAGTTGTTGTTTTCTTCCATAAAGGACACTGAATTTAAAATTGTTTAAAACCATAGATATTTTATCAGTATAACTGAGGTACAGAGGATCTAACACATGAAACACCAACGTTGACTTGCTACTATACGCAGAAAGTAAACACTGTGTCAAACCCACAAGGCAACATGCTGTTTTTGAGTTTTATAGGGCATTGAAAATAAATAATTTCTAAATACCTTCACAAAAAAGACTCTTCAGAAAGACTCTAAAATTGCCAGAACAGAAAGGAGCCCAAAGAACTCCTCCTTACCTTTCTTGGCTTCCACGCCAGACCCCAGGGCCGCCGTGGTGGTTGGTCTGAGCTCAGAGCTACTCTGAGGGGTCACGTTTGCTTTGGCAGTGTTGGCCTTTCCTTTCTTGTCATTCTTGGAAGTGTCACTGGGCACATCGGCTATGTCACTCTGGAACAGAAACACTGACTCAAATGAATGTCACCTCAATTCCTGCATATTTTTTATTTTTCTGAATCCAGGTACTCTGTCCCACTCAACTTCTCCCCTTCCCTTTCCCAGACTTCTATTTGAATGGACCTCTGCATGGTAGGAGTAAAGATTACACAGTTTCCTTAGGCTTGAAGCAAAGGATCAAGCCAAGAAAGAAGATCCAACTATTTTACAAGCAGAGTATGCTTTCTCATTTTCTAGCTAGTGGAGAGATTACTGCTTCCACTCCAAACTGAGTATGGTAAAGGTAGCATTTAAAAACAAACAAATAAATTGTGCAGTGGAATACGAGAAGTTTGGGATGCAAGACTGATAAAAAACGAACAAACGCAACAAACAATAAATGGTATTTTCATTAGTTCACTGAACTGGGTTAGCTGGTACTTCAGTGTATCATAAAAGCATCCTATATTTTAAAGTTTCCTAAAAGTGTTACAGATGTTTTCCATTCTGCTTCCAGCGGGGAAGTGGTCCCCAGATGTGAGTTAAACCACTGGTGATGATGTGGGTCTTTCAGACAGTGGTCACATTTTGTTAAACGTGTTACAGTCTAGTAGACCACTGAAATATTGGTTGAACTGGTAAGTTCAGTTAAAAAAAAAATCTTAGAATTTGTTATATTAATTTATTATTTTGATATTATTTTGTAATCACTGTTTTATAACCAACCTCCCCAGCTTGGCCACCCTCAACCAACCATTGTTACTTACAGTTTCAATGCCCATAGCTCTCATTTGGTCTGCTCTCTTTTCCGTAATTGAAAGAAATTTCTTTGGATCTGACAATGCATCCACAATATCTGAAAGAAAAACCACTGAGCTTCTAATTCTCTGTTTTACTGAAAACATACCAAAACAAAACAAAACAAAACTCAACTAATAAACTATTCATGATCCTGGATACCCATTTAGCTTTCTGCTAAGTGCCTTCTAGAACACAGGGCAAGGTTAGGGAAACACAGGTAGTAGCAGAAAACAAGAAATACGTAAAGGCAAGGGTCAATGACCAGATGATGTTCTCTACCTTTGTCTTTAGTTTTTCCCCAAATAAAGAAAGCAGGGTGACAGGGCAAACTAAGTGAATTGCCTGGGGTTCTCCAGTCTTTAGTGATTTGTGTAACTTTGAGCAAACTGATTAATATTTGAAGCCTCAATTTTTTTTCATCTGAAAATTACGGCTGAAATCATCCACCCTAAAGGGTTATTGTGAGATTTCAATACGATGATGAGTACAAAAAGTATCTAGGAACACAGGAGTTGTCAAAGCACTATTTTTAGAATCAAAAGACTAATATATATTTGAAGCTAGTTTTGTTTCCATGGTAGGTAAACTGAAATTATTTCTCTAGTGTTTCTCTGCTGTAACTTGCATTTAAAAAACAATACAATTTCATCTTTCGATTGTATCATTTGAAAAGCTATAAGTTGTTTCTGAGTTTCATATAAATCTTTATAATTTACCAACACTATAGAAGGAACCCTGGTGGTACAGTGGTTAAAGCAATCGACTGCTACCTAGAAGGTCAGCAGTTCAAAACTACCAGCGGCTTCGTGGGAGAAAGATGTGGCAGTCTGCTTCCTAAAGATTTATAGCCTTGGAAACCCTATGGGGTTGAAATGAGTCAGAATTGACTCAATGGCAGTGGGTTTTTTGCTATAAAAGGAATAATTATTCTTGATAAAACAGGACATTATTTACAAATTTCATGTTTATAAACTTTTCCCTAGCAGAATCACCCTCCTAAACACAGTCTTAGGATCCTTTTCCTCAGTTTAGTTTTTTTTCTTTTACCTTAAATAATAGAAAATAATGTATGTACATGGTATAAAACACTCATATACATAAAATGAAAAGTCTCCTCTCCCACCAATTCCATACCCAAAACCAACCAAACCAAACCTGTTGCTGTCGAGTCAATTCCAACTCGTAGCAACCCTACAGGACAGAGTAGAACTGCCCCACAGGGTTTCCAAGGTGGATTTGAACTGCCAACTTTTTGGTTAGCAGCCGTAGCTCTTAACCACTACACCACCAGGGTTTCCGTTCCACACCCAGTAGGTAACTATTATTATTCATTTCTTGTATCCTTCTAGATATTTTTTAAACTCCAAATGAATTCATAGTTTTCTGTACCTGTTTATTTCATTTTTTAAATTACATATCTTGGAAACACTTCCATACCAGCAATATAGATCTACTACATTATTTTTAATGGCTGCTTAAATATCGCATTTTATGAAAGGCTGAAATTTCTTTACCCAGTTCCCTACTGACAGACAGTTGGATTGTCTCCATTCTTTGCCATTATAAACAGTGTTGCAGTGAACATCCTTACCCTTAGTAAGGGCAAGGTGGGCAAACCCCACCTTCATTGGTAACTGTGCGGGAATGATCAGCATGAATCCAACTCCTACCTGGAAATAGATCCAGGCCTCACCTGCCCACTTCTCTGTCCTTGTTGCCTGCCATTCCAAGTGGTACTCTCTCATCCCCAGCTACCCAGGGCCAGGTCAAGGGATACCAGCTACAAGCACAGGGGTTCACATTACTCCCTGCACTTCAGAACAGCTGGTCCCTTCTTTCTCTCATCTGGGGCCAGGTCAGTGGGCATTGGCTGCAAGCTTGGAAATCCACATGATTCCCTCCACTTCAGACCAGCGGACTCCTTCTCTGATCATAGCTATTCTGAGCTAGGTCAGAGCATACAAGTTAAAAAGACAGTCCTTCAGATTGCCAAATAGGCAAACACCAGCCCTTGCTGGCTCACTGTCCCTGTGGGTTCATTTTTCCCTGAACGACTCGCAGAACTCATGGGGACTATCTATACCTACAGTTACCTATTATAACCAAAAATGATACAAATCAGGAGATGCATAGAGCAAGAGGTTCTGGGAGGGGTCCCAGGGCAAGGCTTCCATTGTCCCTGGGACTGTCCCCAGGGCTGTGTGACCTTCCTGAGAGCAGATGTTCTTGCCAACCAAGAAGCCCACAGAACTTCCATGTTTAAGGCTTTTTATTGGCTCTATTGTAGTCATGATTGGGGACTTGCTGCATAGTCCTGGTTGATTGAATCATTGAAAATGCATGATTGATTAAATCATGCCGCCCTCCCTTCCTGATGTTAGCCGATCAGGTATGGTCTGTGTAGCCCCCACTCATTTGCACAAATTTTCACGTGTTGCCTGGCAATTTTGGAAAACAAAAACACTTTGATTACTTGGGAAATTCCAAGGGTTATTTTTCGGGAACCAAAGACAAAGGCCAAATGGAGCTTTTTGTCTCACAATCCTTGAACATCTCATAGCATGCCTTTGTGTATGGTCATAGGATAAGTTCCTAGAAGTTAGAATTATAGGTAAGGGTATTTGTCCTTTGGTAGTTATTGCCAAATTACCCTCCACAGAGGTTGCATCCATTTATTCTCCTACCAGGAGTATATAAGGTCTGTTTCACGTTATCACTTGTGGTCCTTAAGAACTCTTTGTGCCATGATGGGGGATATGGACAAATTCACCCTTAAATCTTACTCAGGAGAAATCACAGATAATTATATTTCGGAAGTTAACGTTAATGGAATTTATTTTATCTATTTTTGATTCTTAAGTATGAAATTTTTCAAACATATACAAAAGTAAAAAGTAAAATAAACTCCCGTATACTGATGATGCAGATTGAACAATATGAACATTTTGACACATTTCTTTTATCTATACACTTTTTTTTTCCTCTCTCCTCTGTCTGCTAAAGTATTTTAAGGCAAATTTCAGACAGCATAACATTCTACTCCTAATTAGTTCTTTCTTCATCTCTAAAACAGAAGGGCATTTTCTTTCAGAACCAACCCTACCAATACCATAAGCAATAAAATTGGCAACAGTTCCTTATTATCATGTAATACACAGCCCATATTAATATTTCCAAGGAGTCCTAGTGGCGCAGTAGTTAAGTGCTTGGCTACTAACTGAAAGGTTGGCAATTCGAACCTACCAGCAGCTCCACGGGAGAAAAATGTGGCAGTCTGCTTCTGTAAAGATTTACAGCCTTGGAAACACTATGGGGCAGTTCCACTCTGTCCTACAGGGTCACTATGAGTTGGAATCAACTTGATGGCAATGGGTTTGGTTTTTATTAATATTTCCCCACTTATATTTAGTTTGATTGAATTAAGATAAAAAGTTCACATCGTGTCAGATAATTATGTCTCTTACATCTATTTTAATATAGAATACTCCCTCCTATTTAATTTTCATAATGCATAGATTTGTTAAAGTGACAGATGAGTTGTCCTGTAAAACATCCCATACTGTAAATTTTTCTCAATGTTTCCTTGACATGTCATTTAGATCTAGGGCTTGACATTTTTTTTGGCGGGGGTGGTTAAGAAGACCTCATACGAGGAGCTTGACGTCGTATGTATCACATCGAGACACGTGAAGTATGACTGTCCCACCGCCGTGACTGTTAACTCACTGAGTTGGCTCAGGAGGCAGCAGCTTGATATCTGCATGGCAGAATTGCTTTTCTCTCCCCACAATCAGCAGGTGATCTGCTTGGTGATACTTCGGCGTTCAACAACACAGTGGCACTGATGTCTCTTCTCAGCTGGCAGGGTCTGCTTCCATTTCATAGTGAGGAAAAATGAAGTTCAGATGGCTCCTCTGATGCCAACTCAGCTCCTTCCTGTTTAGGACCCCCATGCCCAGTGGTCATGGCCACCTACCTCATGCAGGAAGCTACGTCAGGAGCACTACTATGTCAGGCTTTTTCTTTGAACCATCAGAATGCCACAAAGAGGGCATCATTAACTCTCTTTGAATATGCGAAGACACAACTTGACCAAGCCAGACTCAGTCCAGCTGTGACTGATTCCCCAGTGCTTTCTCCCACCATTTGTTCATACCGTCATGGGACAAAGTGAGGTTTAAACCAGGGCTTCCAACCAGTTCATTCAGGTTCAAACCCCTGCTGAGAATTTCCATTTTTAACAAGTTCCCTGCTGAGAATTTTTGTTTCAAACAAGTTCCCAGGCAATGCTAATGCTGCTGGGGTAAGAATCACCAGGGGATCTTGTTAAAATGTAGATTCTGATTCAGTATATCTAGGGTGGAAATGCAAATTCTCAGCAGGGGTTCAAACCAGAATGAACCAGTTCAAGGTTCTGTTTTAAACTGTGCCAGTCGAACTCACCTGCCCTTTCTAGGAGAAGACCTACCCAGTTTACGCCTCCCAGTGTGCTCCCACATTGGATGCCCTCTGCTCTAGGCTTCTCACTGGCACATTTCAGTGATGACCCACAAGGCTGGCTTGTTAGCAAATACACGCTTGCTTATCTTTAAAGATATATAATCAGTTTGGGGCCTGAAGAAGAGTATTTGGCATTTGTAAGCAGGTAACTGGTAGTCCTTCCAGTATGAATAACATATAATATTTTAATCACTTAAAACCAATTATAAAACCCACATGGTAAGACATTAAAGAATAAAATAATTCATAATCCTTCCATCCTATCCACACTATTTTCATTTTCATAAATGCTTGTCTAATTTTTCTACATGAATACATATTTTATTTTATATAGTGTGCTTATAAGTTATATAATCTGCTTTTTCATGTATTATTAGCTTACATTATATCTGAATAGCTGTGAAAACTATTTTTAGTAAATGGGTAATGTTCCATTGAATTTATGTACCAAACTCTTCCCCACTGGTAGATATTTAGATGGGTTCTCAATTTTTGTGTAGCAGATGACTTCCCAAGGAATATCTTAGCTCACCTTCTTCAGCCTTTTTTTTAATC